TGACATCCTGGTTGGCTTGGTTGTTTCCCGTTGTTTGGCCCTTTGAGCGCGGGGCGGTGCTGTATGTGGGAATCGCCATCCGGGATTGTCTTCTCCTTCTTTTTGGTTGTCACATTGTGGATTGGAGCCTTTTTTTGTTTTGCTGATTTTGTCTGTACCTCGGTTGGTTTGGTCCCGTTGTTTGGGCTATCTTATGGGCGTCGCTGTGCTTTCATGTGGGACCAGCCATTCGGGGTTTTGGCATCCTGGTTGGTTGTTTCCCGTTGTTCGGCCCTTTGAGAGGCGGGGCGGTGCCTGTATGTGGGAATCGTCATCCGGGATTGTCTTCTTTTTTTCTTGGTTGTCACACTGTGGATCGTCGCTTTTTTATGTCTTGTCCTGGGTGGTCTTGTCCCGTTGTTTGGCCTTTTGACGGAGCGGGCGGTGCTTGCATGTGGGACTTGTCATCTGGGATCTGTCTTGTTTCCCTCTGTTCTATTTGTTTCATTTGGCTGTTCCCTTCCTCTCTTCTTTGCCTCTTTGCCTTTTGGCTGTGTGCAAGTGGGTCGATATGACACACGGGGGTGGGGGCAGCCGCCGCTCAACCTACATCCACGTGGGCGGCCTTGTACGCAAGAGGTTCTGAACAGGGGGAGTTGTAAGGAAGAAGATTAAAAACGAATTTAAGATTTTTTTGTTTTTTTGTTTTTTTCGCTTAGGCGCTCTGATATCATGTGACAATATATATATATACTGTTGATCCGGCGGGAACTGGCGGGAATGATACCCTAAACCCTCTAACCCTGTTTGGTCATAGTCCATTCTATCATGCTGCTTTCTATTTTTTTCTTTTTGCCTATTTTTTTAAATTTTCGGATCTCCTTTCTCTCCATGAAGGCGCAAGTGTGCTTCTGTTAACAACCATACAAAGCCGGGGTAAATGCCAAAGTAAAAATGGAAAAATGAGGGGTAAAGAAGAAAAGGAAACAAAGGGAAAAGAAGAGGAAAAGGAAAGAAACAAAGGGAAGTAAAATGACGGAAG